AGCCATCTTTGAACACATGTGGGTAGCCATCTTATGTCTTGGAGTGATAGTCAATTTGCATATTACTCTTTTATTAGATAGGATAATTCAGGAACAGCCATATGCAAGTGATACATGGGGCAAGGTATATGAGACTAAACTCAGAGCTCCCATGACCTTTCTGGGTACACCAAACACCCAGCGTTTTCACTTATTGACCAACCGAGATGTTGAAGTTTTGTGGAGGTTTCACTTCCTATGGAAAATTGATTAAATCATTCATCACAAGTGACTAATTCACCCTCTAGCCCATCTGCCCTCCCTGGAGGTCAGAAGGGTGAGGCTGAAAGTACCAACCCTCTAATCAAAGGGTGGGGTCCCCTCACATCCAATTTCTATTTTTAGGGACTTTCCAAGAGTGACCTTATTAACATAAACTCTGGTGTACTTGAAAGAGACTTATTATGAAAAACAAAAGACATTTACTTTACTTTTTTTGCTCTTAACACTTAGAAAATTTCACCCATTGTAGCATTTCAGTGCCAGGATCAGCATAATCATATGTCACAGTCAGTCTCTAGCTGGATATGTACAATATTAGATGGATCTTTTTTTGGTTATTGTTAATCCTCACTTGAGGATATTTTTTTCCATTGATTTTTAGATAGAATGGAAAGAAGGTGGAATGGAGAGGGAAGAGAGAGAGAGAGAGAGAGAGAGAGAGAGAGAGAGAGAGAGAGAGAGAGAGAGAGAGAGAGAGAGAATTAGTTGCCTCCTACATGCGCCCTCCAACAAGGGCCAAGGTTCTGACCTACAACCCAGATATGTGCTCTTGATGTTTTAACCATTTAGCAACACTGTCCAAGGCTCCATTAATCTTTTTTTATAACTTTACACAGTGGATTTTGTTGCTATTCCCATTCTACAGATGAGAAAATGAAGACAGATAAACCAGTTGATCAAGGTCATTCAATTGTGGTTATATCTGAACTTAAACAATGCTGACCAATTGTAGAGCCATTCAGATCATATTATCAAAGGATGGTTTATATCTGGAAGCTTTTGATGGAGAGTCCATCATTGATCCACTTTGGAGCATAGTAACCATAACATTAAACCAAATATAGCTCTATTTTTTGCTATAAAAACTTGTATGAAAAAATGAATCAGTCATTACTTGTTTAATTTTTCTGTCTACATAAGTTCTTTATTTAAAGAGACATTATTCCTTCCCATCCCAGAAAGAAACATGAAAAGGAATGATTAAGGTTAGATAAGCTGGGGAGGTTTGATGTAGATTTATCAAATTTAGGGATCTTGGACAAGTCACCTGGACCTGGGTTTTCTCATCTGTAAGAGGTTTTAGTTAAAATGGGTGATTGCTAAAAACCCCAGCTAGGTTATTTACTCTTATTAGAAGATGTAACACATTATTGAGCAAAAATTTTGCTAAAGGAGTTTCACTGACACTCAAGGAACCTTACTTATCAGCTAATTCTGAAATAAAGTAGTCTAAAAAACAAACATGGACCAACTAAACTTTTCTCTAGGATCTAAGTAACATATTAAGAAATGTTTTTTTGTGTGTATGTGTGTGTTTTTTTTCAAATCAGTATCACTGTAAATTCTCTTATACAAGTAGAGATTTGTGCTGTCTAAGCTATAATAAAAATAGCTGTAACACTGCTTGATCAATTATAGTGCCTTTTTAAAAGAAATATGTAGAGACTCATCCTATGAAAACTTATGAAAATAATTTAATTTACAAGATATATTATTTTAGAAAACAAAAATATTTGTGTTATGATAACCATTATGCCTCACTTATGGGAAAGAAATTTGAGGCTAAACAACTCTTGTCTCTTATAATTGCTGTAACATAGAGTAAACTTAAAATGCATTTCTTTAGAATCATTATGTCTAACTCCAAGATCATGAAAACTGACCTCCCCTTGGAGAAAAGTTCATATTTTAAGGCTGTGTCCTTTACTGTATCTCACATGGTCATCAAAGAATCTTGCTCCATACTGCATGTCCACCTGAGACCAGCACTTCACTTGACCTTTTGCACATGATCCCCCTGGAAAATTTGCAGAAGTTACACAAATCTGAAATATTATTATCACTGAAAGTTAAAATGGTGTCCTAATGATTGTTAGCTGTGATGAGCACTACTTGCTACAGCTTTTCCCAGCCCCCTGCTGCATTGAAATGTAATCGGTTTTCTGTCTTTTTTTGCAGCATGGCTGTCACGGGCAATAACATAATTTTGCATATGCATCAGTTTGGCTCTAGTGCAGATTTTTGTTCACATTGGACTCCTACTGATGTGCACTGATTTAAAGTCTGCAAATGAAACTTAATTTTATATAGCTTATAAGTAGTCCCTAGAGGGTATTGGATCCTAAAAGCTAATATTTTTCAGACATAATCAGCAGGAATAGGTAATGCATTACCATTAGCTACATTAGCAGCAACCATAACAAAAGGAAACAGTAAACATGAATGCTCTTAGTGACTTCATACTTTACAATAAATATTAATATAAAATAACACAAATTAGGGTTGCAGTTTAATATTATGCAGCGTGATATCCATAATGATTGTTTCATATTTAAAGAACACCAAAATACTGTGTTTTATCAGCCAAGGACAATAATAGTTTAATAATAATCTATTTTAAACAGATAGTGATAATGCAACCAATCAACACATTGAGTGGTGCCAACATTGGCATCTTGCTAAATAATCTCTAGACATTGCAGAGAGTACATCTCTCAAAGATAAGTCAACAAGAGCAATCAGAGCAGAAAATTAGAGTTTGGTGTCTTAGAATTAAAATACAGCTAAACTAAAGTTTTAATTGGGGTGATCTAAAAGGGCACTTGATGTAATGATCTCTTTCATTTGTTACTAATTGTTTGTTCCTGATTAAAAAAACAACAACAAACATATATAGGAATGTTGCTGAATCGAGTGAAGATGGCAGTTTCCTTAGCAGCTATGTTTTATTGTGAAAAATGAGAGAGGGAGGGGCAGAAATCCTTTAGCTTGTTTCATATCACCATAATTAATCCAGGGAATTCAGGGTCAGGTATACAAACATGAACTAACTTATACTTGCTTGAAAAGTGACTAGACATGGCTTATGGCAATGCTGTATTGGCAGGCAGAAGTAGGGGGACGTCTCTTTTGTGCTAAGGATTCGCAATTTCTGATTCAAGCTGCTTGTGTTGTCTAATGCAAAGGGGTCATGTGGCAGAGTAGATTTACAAGTGGACCAACTTCCACTTCATATATAATTTCAGTTGCAAATGTCAGATTCTGATGTTCATGGACCAAGGCAAAATATCTTCTACTTTCAAATAGCTTTTTGTATTCTGAATTGCTAAAAACAGAAAATTGAGCTTTTATTTTTACTAATAATTTTACTGATAATTTTCTAAAGTACCTTAGGAGAGAACACAGGCACCATGCTTGGTATATGTTTTATATATTCTCAGAAACTCATTTTCAAAAATCTCAGGATATTATTAAATTTAAAAAATAGCATAAAAATTAAAAATAGCATACAGTGAATCAATATATGATTCCATAACCAGTTGAATAAATAAACCCTGCCTTGCCATTTGCTCACGATTTACTATATTGTCAAATAGTTCCCTACAAGTAATTCTTTATTTATTATGACTATTTTAATGCTTTTTAAAAATAATGCACTATGAAGCCACTAAGCTTTAGACTCCTTCCATATATATCTCAAGAAAAATATACCAGTTTTATAATTTTTATTCAGCAAATGTTCAAAATATACTATATTATAGGCATTCTCTGGGTCCTAGGGGCATAGTCGCAAATGAGAGAAAATGGCCCTGCCTCAGAGAGCTTTCAGTGTAGTATAGAAGACACAACATAAAGCAATAAAAAAAATATATGACAACATTACAAAATAGATGCTATGAAGAATTTTAAGGAGGCAATAACAAGATGTGTTTCGGTAGGTGGTAAGAGAAGGGCTTTCTTGAGTGGTGACTAAGCAAAGGTGAAATGAAATGAGGGTATAAACCACATAAAAATTGGAAGGAAAAGCATTCTAAAAAGGAACAGAGAAAACAAAGAGCCTTGTGCAGAAACAAATTGGGAACTGTAAATAAGCCCACTTTATCCTATATAAAAAAGAGGTAATATGCAAATTGACCATCACACAAAAATGGCCACCCCCATGTGGTCACAAGATGGCTTCCACAAGATGGCTGGCAGGGGAGGGCAGTTGGGGATGACCAGGCCACCAGGAGAGGACAGTTGTGGGCAACTGGGCTGGCAGGGGAGCAGTTAGGCATTGATCAGGCTGACGGGGGAGTGGTTAGGAGGTGGTCAGGCTAGAAGGCAGAAGCATTTAGGGGCAATCAGGAACTCAGGCAAGGGAGCACTTGGGATCCAGCAGTCCCGAATTGTGAGAGGGATGTCCAACTGCTGGTTTAGGCCCAATCCCACAGACTAAACCAGCAGTTGGACATTCCCTAAGGAGTCACAGATTGGAGAGGAAGCAAAGTGGGCTGAAGGATACCCCCTTCCCACCCAGTGCACAGATTAATGCACAGGGCCTCTAGTCTAGTATAATTTTGATAGGGAATAGTGGTGAATGAGCTCCCAGAGATAGGTGTAAGCCAGGAACACTTAGGGTTGCATAAACCATGTTCAGTCTAATGTTTAACTCAGATCTTTTTTAGATATGCTTATGTGCTGCCCTCATTTAGCATTAGATTTAAATATTCTAATTAGAATCAACTAAACTTGAATGCTGAAAATATTTGTCTTCCTACAATATAACAATATTTTCATTAGATTTATAAATTGTGTGCTTTAATTATATTATAGTGCTTGTCCTAGTAAGTACAGAGTGAATGCACAAGAATGGAAGAATTTGATAAGAGAGTTTTTCTCTTTTGAAATGCCTTTAAGTAATGAATGAAATGTGCTTTGTACAAAATATGTCAGTTCTGAATACTTTCTTTGTACAGGGGCTCTTGAAAGTTGCCATAGATAATGCCAGAGCTCAAGAAAAACAGGTCCAACTGGAAAAAACAGAGCTGAAGATGGATTTTTTAAGGGAACGAGAACTAAGGGAAACCCTTGAAAAGCAGTTGGCTATGGAACAGAAAAATAGAGGTATTTTCAAACGTCCAAACATGGTTAACACTTTGTGTAAAATATTTACAATGACAGTACTATGATTGGTGATTTACTATGAGAGTATACTTTTTGTTTTTTACTTTTAGCTAAAGTTCAAAGCAAAACTTGAATCCTGGGCTCATGTATTTCTTAATTTCCAGTGCACATGGTTTCTCTACTGTTGATACCTCAATATATTGAAATATATCTATTATATCATTAATCACATAATTTTTATTATGAGCTTCACAAATTTATAATTTTAAGATGGACAGCAATGAAGATAAATTTTATATATAGTCACAGTTGCCTTTTGAAAAACGAGTTAAAATCATAAAGCTAAAAGAGAAAATACTGATTATTCAAGTGAAACAGATTGAGTAAGATATTTATCAATGAAATTGAAGACTGATGATTGTCTGAACAACTGACCAAAGATGAGTTATATAATAATGCTTCACTCAACAAGATCAAGTACACATTACAGTATAAGCCAATATGAATATTTATTGGGTAAAAATAATAGTATTCTCAATCTATTGCTCTGTTAACACACTGTACAATGCATGTATACATAATTTTGACGATCATTTATATTTGTGTGTTTATTTTATGTATGAGATCGAAGAATATTTTGTTTGCAACCAACTTTGCCATTGCCCCAACAATACGTTTCTTCTAAGTATTCTAGAAAGAGTGCTTCTTTTCTTTCATTTAATAAGTATCCATAACAAATATTATACGTATTCTCCTTTTGGATATTTGACATAGACATTTAAAAATTAGTGTCCTGTTTGTTTTCAAAACTGGCAGGACTACGTATGTTTTTTCATCAATTACTATGAAGCCACAGGTAGGGGTTCCTGGGATGAGGTTGATTTATGAATGAAATTGTCAACCCAATAATACAGTTCTAAATAATGTGGCTTCACTAATATAATCAAAACAAGATAAACATTGGTAACAAGGTATGTTCTAAGTGCATAATGAAATTTGGTTAGAGTTCATTATATGGGAGCATATTCCATATGATTGCCATGTCTTGATTTTGTTTGCATCTGGAAAAATCTTTCTTCTAAAAATTATTTTACAATACTTAAAGGCAAATCCCTGAATTCCTAAATTAGCTTTTGGTTACTTGAGGGACCTTAAGAGTTTTATTGGTTCAAATAAGTTGGAGGATTTATACTCTGTTTTACTTCTTTAACCACTAGAGGGCAAAACATTTCACAGATCATACCAAGAACTTCCCATTTAATTAATTGTGAACAATAAATTAAAGGTAATAACTGTCAATAATTATGTCTTATGACTATACCTATTTAAGCAATGTATTATTCTGAAGTGAGAACATGGTATTCCCATTTGGTTCAATCACACAGGAAGGAAACAGTGAGCGGCCAGTGGCAAGGGGATGGGTATTGAGTGTTTAGTGCCATGGGTGTGCACAATCCAAATAATAATGCAGAAGCTACTGTTCCTTTTCAAAGAGACTTATAAACAACCATCTTTGGAAAGGGAATAGTAGGAATGTGATTTTGTTAAGATAAGCATATCATCTTCATACTATTAAGTAAAGGAAATTAGCACATTTATTTGAAACCAGCTTTGTTTTTTTCTGTAAGATGGTAGCCAGTGCACATTTCCTGTTAATATATGATACCAGCAACAATAAACTCAACAAGATAATAGTCTGACGTCTTAAAAATATTAATAATTATATAAATGGTATGTATTGACCCTAGAAATTGTAACTAAAATTCTTTCTTGAGGCATTTTACCTTATTTTATATACTGACTAAACACTGTTACAGAATTATTTTTCTTTTTTAATCTGTAGTAAGAAATCAAATAGCACACTTTAGATGATTGTTCCTTATTACTAACTCTAACAGAAGGGTTTTCTCATATGGATTCTGTCACATTAAATCCACAATATTTAACAGCCATCAAAAAAAGTATTTCAAAGAAAAACATTTGTATGCTTCCCATATGCTGATTGCTTACTTTATGTACATATTGTAAAAAAAAAATCATACTGAAAATACAGCTGACATCCACATTATGAAGAACATTTATTTTTCATTATTTATTGATTGTATATTGCATACAAATATTTAAATTATCCAGTAGGAAAAAATGTATCATAATCAATTTTTTGTATCATAATCTACCTTCTTATACCATGGCACATGGTAGCATACTATTATTTGCAATGAAGTTTTATTCTCCACCAAATGTCAGAAGTATAAATTTTGTGAAATGTATTAAAGTGTATATATATTTGCTATGAGGTAATTATTAATAATTATTATTATAATACCTCCATCCAAAATATTTATGCTTATATATGTTAACAGTAATTAGACATATTTACCTCCTCATATAAAATAATATTGTATTTCCTAAAATTTCAAGATAGAAAAAATTTTCAAGATAAGATTATTAAAAGTTTAGCTGGTGTAACATTGTTTTGTAAAAAGGGAAATATACCATTTACTACTTAAAATTGGTGCTTCATAAATAGGAGACATACTTATACATGTTTGTGCTAGTCTAGACTACTCTGCACTATTCTGATTCAAGGGCAGAGACTAAGCCCAAACATTCCTCTAATTAGCCTTCCTTTATCAGTGAATTCAAATATTTACTAAAATTAGTTTCCCATTAAATCTGTCTCTAAAAATGATAATTAAAGCCATTCTTACATTGTAATATAGTTCAAGGCTAAGTAAAAATTGGCCTCCTTGGACATTTTACTGGGATTTATTTTAAGGTTACATTTTTTCCACTTCCTCTGCATAGGTAGACTCAATCTAGTGGACGGAAAAAGAGTATTGTATTATAAGAAAGATAGATCATTTATAAGTTTGATAAGTGTTTAATTTAATACTGCAAAAATTTAAGAAAAAATAATGTGGACTCCCTTTTCTAGCCATAGTTCAAAAGAGGCTAAAGAAGGAGAAAAAGGCAAAGAGAAAATTGCAGGAAGCACTTGAATTTGAGACAAAACGGCGTGAACAAGCGGAACAAACACTGAAACAGGCAGCTTCAACCGATAATCTCAGGGTCTTAAACGGTAAGAGGTGCATTTTTATGTGATGCAAACTAACTTCCATTTTTTAAAATAGACCATTTAGACAGGAGTTTGTGGTTTTGTCTATATTTAGGTCCTGTCATTCGTTCAATTATGCTCCTAGCTGAAAGCGTTGTGTGAAGAATACTCACATGTGCTGAGGGAAATGCATTCCTATTTCATAGGTGCCTCCGTTGTTTTGTTACTTAACTCCAGCATCTGGGACCTGGCATTGCCTCTCTGTTTCACCAAATCCATCTCTATCGAAACACGATAAAAGAGTAATCTGAGAATTCCCCAACCCCCATCCACTTTATGAACACATTTGTGTTATTTATCTATTCAAACAAACCTATGGATCACTCCTATGGTTATAGTCTTTGTTCAACCTTCAAAAGATGACATCCATTTAGATCATTTTAATCTAGCACCGGAGTAAGAGGTCTCTTTTTTTTTTTTTTTTTTAAAGAACAATATTATCAAATGAAATGTGTGTCACTCTTACTTTTCTGTTCTTCTAGACTCGCTGACCCCAGAGATAGAAACTGACCGCACTGGGGGCAGAACAGATGCTGAAAGGACAATACAAGGTAGGAATTTGCAAAAGGCTATAAATCTAGATCTTGCTCCATGAGTTTTTGCCTCAGCTTTCGCCTGCTATTCAAGCATGTAGCCTGCCATCTGGGCCACATCAAAACAAGTTCCAACAAGGTCAAGTTCATCTTGCTTGTTTATATGAGTGAATTCGTTTTGTGCTGATAGATTTTCTTTAAATGAACAGGTCATTTCTGTTTATGCAGTGCAATTAAAAAGGAATAATTAATTTTAAACGATGTATGATTTCATCTTAGACACCGTAAATGCGTTTTTATTGAATGCGTGAAGCCCAATCTCATGCAGGAAGGATTTATAAGTTCTATTCTATATATAAATACAATCATGAGTTAATTGAACAGGGGGTTCTAATCATTTGGAAATGTCTTCTCATTTTGCGAGAGTTACTGTCAGACACACGCAAAATAGTCCAGTTGAATGTTCACAGTAAATAAGATTGTTTAATCCTGTGTGTGGATTTTTCAAATGTTCTGTAGGCCATTGTAGCCATTTTAATAAGACAAATCTGCTGAGCAAAATCATCAATAGAATACTAAAGGAAGTTGTGTTATACACTCAGAGAAGCTAAATAAATATATATATTTTGCCAAGATCACACTATAAGGAAAGGACAAAATTTGAAGGTAACATCTATAGTCTAACATCTATTCTAGACAGGAAACTCAATCTAACTTCATGAATACAAAACAGTGAAAAAAAAGCATTTATTTTCTATTTTAAATGAAGATGATTCTTCAAAGCAAAGCCCAAAATGATTAATTGCTATAATCCTCCCAATTGCTTTTATTTTGCATTTTAAGCTCAATCATGTTGGGGTTATTCTTTGACACTAATTGTGTTACTTAATCAGTTTCAAATGTGTCATTCTTGGTTTAGTGTAAAGGAAATATACCTTTTTAAAGTACCATATATGCAATAAGTAAATATCAGAAACTTGAAACATTCCTATAGAATGTGTTTTGCCTATATTTATTTTACCTGAAAATTGGGATATTTATTTTTTTTTAAATCCTAAGCCATGCACCATATGTTATTATGAGATATCTCCTTGGATATACAAGATTAATGCAATTGTAAATATAGAAAATACTTCATTTTAAAGAGTCTTATGGATTTCAGCAAAATTATAAATGTGTGTACAAGTTATTAAAATCATAAGGCTCTCTTGAATCTCTTTTAAAAATTACATTATATATATATATATATATATATATATATATATATATATATATATTAACAAATACCTAACAAAGTCAGTCCTCCCAATCAGAGCCAATAACCTTAGTAAGACTAATGTAAAAATATTAGCCCTGGCTTGTGTGAGCAGGGGTCGGTTACTCATGCACTGATTTAGCTACTGTCCAAAGTGGTCTAAGCAAGCACATGCATCTCTAGGTAAATGTGATATATAAATTACCTGGTATCCACAGAATTCTCAAGATGGTCAGAACTCAATCTAAGAAAAATAATAGACAATATATTCTTGCACATAAAAGGGATATTTGTCAATAATATTAAGAAATGTTTAGGCAATGATGACAAATCTTTGCATAGTTGACATAATATATATTTTAAGAGTTTGCTATCAAAAATATTTTGGTCAACAATAAGGTTACAGTTATTATTTGAACCTTCAAAATTCACATATATTCAAATATACACTTTATTATGGATGAAATCTTGCTGTATGTGGTTGAAATATTGAGTTTTCTCTTTAATGTGATTGCTGACTCTGAGGAAACTTTTTAATCATAAATTGCCTTTTTTTTTTTTACTATTCAGAATGCTATCAGTTGGGTAACATAGAAGACCTACCCAAATAACCTCATAATTAAGGAAACAAATATTTGAACAAGTATACATAGTAACTTTAAGCCAAATATAAATGATTATGAGGTTATTTATTGCTTTTGTTTAATTATAATAAGAATCTTCATTCATTTATTCATTCACTCATTCATCCAGCCTGTCAATTGAAATGATGTTCCTTAAGTTTAATTTTCTTAAAATTGTTTAATGCACAGTTGGTTTTCAATAAAATTCTTAACTAATATTCATTATTTTAATTTGGTAGTATAAGCTTTATCAAATGTAATTTTAAAAAATACTGTACATGAATTTGTATTTCTGTGTGTTGGTTGCTAAAAAGTTATCTAGCCAGCATTTGAACTTACCCAAGACTTTTAAAATATAAGAGCAAATGGATCACCTTTTGCTACTCTAAGTCCACTAAATAAGTTCTTTTAACCCTTTGAAGATTTTTTAACCTTAGAAACTAAATCCATATATTTGGAAGCTAACACAGAGAACAAAATTAACTGTGAACAAAATTAATCAAAGCAAAAAGATTCTAGTTAAGTTCTGAGTTTAAGCATAAGAATGGGAAAGGTGAAGAAGGAAAAACCAGAACTCATTACTGATTTGTGAAATGGTCTGTGTCAGGCATTTGGGGAGCCATAGCACCTGCTGCTTCACAATTCAGGAATGACACAAACACAGCCTCCTGCTCCCTTAGCCTTTCTCTCTGTGTCTCTGAGCCCAGGTGTTATGATATCCTTTGTAACTCTTTCTTGCTCCCAATCCAACCATAACTGAAATTATTCTCTCTTTCAAAATAAACTCACCTAATTAGAACAGACAAAGGAAACCCACATTTCTTCATGCTTGCCATGTATTTATTTTTAACATTTTGACAATTAAAAAATGCCACACTTGGCCCAAGAGTCAGTTACCTAAGAGTCAGACACTGCAATACTGCTCAGGTGCCAAGTCATTACCTCCAATAAGCACCTCAGGTTAGACTGAATGTTGCCTTTTCGGCATTTAAGACCACAATTTCTAAAACAAAACAAAACAAAAAAAACTATAGAGGAGGGGAAGTGGAGATAAGAAAGCAGTTTAAAAATATTCCTGAGGAAAGAGGCCCTAAATAAATTACTTATCTTGATAAGTAAGATATATCAGCTCATACTACACAGGGATGAATTCATAATGGATGCTTCTATTTATTTTTATTGATTGGTTGATTTTTAAAATATATATATATATATATATATATATATATATATATATATTATTGACTTTTTTTACAGAGAGGAAGGGAGAGGTATAGAGAGCTTGAAACATCGATGAGAGAGAAACATCAACCAGCTGCCTCCTGCACATCCCCCACCGGGGTTGTGCCCTCAACCAAGGTACATGTCCTTGACCAGAATCAAACCTAGGACCCTTCAGTCTGCAAACCGAAGCTCTATCCACTGAGCCAAACCAGTTTTGGGTGATTGGTTAATTTTAGAAAGAGAGGGAGGAAGAGAGAGACACCAATTTGTTGCACCACCCATTTAGGCATTCATTGGATGCTTCTTGTATGTATCCTGACACGAGACAAAACCTGCAACCCTGGTGTAGCTGTATGACACTCTAACCAACTGAACTACCCAGCCAGGGTTTCATTGCTAATAACGTGTCATAGCTAACTCACAATTTATCAGTTTGGATGTGATATTATGAATTAAAAAATTAAAATACAAAAAGTTGATTTAAAAGCTGATCTGCATAGTGATTAATGCTCTCATAACTGAGTCTTACATGTCCTGATTTGTGCTGGAATTTTTAAAAAAAATATTTCTAATCTTTTTGTAAGATCTTTAGAACATATAGAGTAGACATAGTATGTATAAATACTCATTGAGCAATGTTTTGCACCAGACATTAAATATCCTCCAAACCCCTTACTGTATGTGTGGGTTACATATACACACACTATATGCAGCCAATTCTGTCACTTGATGGCTCTCTTTAGCTAGGTACTAAACTCTTTTTATTCTACCTTTCTAAGCAACAGTATCCACCTAAATAACTTACGTATTTTGACAACTTTAAAAACTATCTTCTCAGCCCATTCAGACATGTGTTAAGAGCACCAGATAATCTTCAACTTTTATTTGGCTGTCTCACTGGGGGGGTCGAGGTCAGTACACAAAATAGAAAGGATCCTCCCTCCCTACCCCTGCCAACCTGTCTTCCCTAGTGCTCCCTCTCTATGGCACCTCATCTGTCCAATCAGATATCCTTCTTAATATGTAATGAGGAAGGAGTCAGCCTGGCATTTCCCTGCCACACCCTTTACACCTAATTATAAGTCTCCCCCCTCATTCTCTGTGCTTTTATGACACTGGATTTTGATTTTGATTTTTCCCCTGAAAGCCTCACATTTTGCTCCTTCCAGGCAGATTTGCCTTCTTCCCTGCCTTTACTCACCCATCCTGTAGATCTCATCTAAGAAGTTACTGCCTTCAGGAATGCTTCCTAGACTCCAGGACTGACCCTAGACTCCATGCCTGATTCAGCACCTCCCTGATCGCTGGATCTAGTTAAGCCTCTTAGAGGTTCTTAGCACACCTCTCACTTCTCCACAACAGCATGCTGTCCACCTATAGTTCCTAGTTCAAGTCTTCTTTCTCTCCGCAAGAAGCCAGCAGAGCATGAACCACATCAGTTTTATTCATTTCTGTATACTAGTGCGTGGCAGAATTTTGACACATTATGGTGCCTGTTAGGTAGTGAAGGATTGCATCAACCATTGATGAATTAGGATCTATATTAGATCTTGTGGATTCTGAAGAAACTATTGTCCTAACATTTCTCAGAGTTTAGTTGGAGAGACTAATGGGAGCAAATAAAGGATAATATGATTCTGCCTACCAAAGTCAGAATTACAAATTCAAGCAGAATTAATTTTGATTCCTGACAGCCAAATTAGCAGTGACTTTATTTTTCTTGTGGGCATTTCTAATAATTCTTTCCTTTTGCACAATTGGCCTAAGATTTGGATTTTTTGACTATTCACTTATGCTTAATTTTTCATTATAAATTTATATTTAATTTAACATACTATAATCACATTTCTTAACAACACTTTATTTTTTGATTTAATATACAATAACCTCATGCTTGTTTTTTATTTGTTTTCATA